TATGTTATGAAAAGCATTTCCTCCTACGTTGAGACGTCTTAAAAGATTTACGATTTCTCAAATTTTATCAGAATAAAAAGAAGAAGAAGAAGAAGAAGAAGAAGAAGAAGAAGAAGAAGAAGAGACCCACGTACGAGTATTGCAAACAAAAACAAAAACAAAAATAAAAGAAGAAAGATAATAAAAAGGATTAATCGTGAGATAGGTAATATATTTCTTTCTCTCTCCTTCTTTCTATCTCTTTGTCACATTGTAAAGAAAAATAAAAGGGATAGAAAGAAAGAAAGAGATAGAGTATCTCACCTGTGAACCAAGACGATATCCTGATCCACGTAAAAGCTGGTCGTTGTCGTCTAGACTTCACGAGTTTATCCAAAACATTGTAAGTGCCTTCTCATGTAAGGAATAATATTTTACTCGATGCTTAAAGTACCCGGCATCATCAAGTACGTGGAGATCGCTTATTTATAGAATACGCTAATGGAACGACATCGCACCTGCGTTATAAGTATATATGCAAGTATGTATACGTATATATACATATACATATACATATTTGTAAATCAAAAGTTTATATATTATATTTTTTTTATTCGGTTAATAATTTTTTAGGTTATGTTTAATTTCTCTTACGAATATTTTTTGTCATCTAATATTATTAATATAATGTTAAAATATTGAAGAAGACTTCATACCGATGTAAGACAAGAAAAATAAAAATAAAGCTCGTTTGAAAGATTGCAAAATTACGCGAGAACTTCTCTCTCTTTTTCAACGTGTGCATCGAGATTATTCACATATCTCTCAAAGTAACAAGCGTGTTATCTTATCGTATCTAGATAAACTCTCGCACCGTTCCTTATCGAACATTCGTTGAATAGCTGATAAAGTATGACAAAGGTCGTTGCGAACCGGTATATGGAGGATTACGTCGTTGTTTTGCTTTTATTCAATACAAAGAAACTTTCTTTCAATTTTTACGAGGTAGAAAAAAATACAAAAAAATTATGATGAAACATAAAAAAGTTTGGTATGACTTTTAATATTACGATGATATCGTTATGAAAGATTGAAATATCGTATGGAAAGTCTTCAAATAATAACTTCTCTTACGTATTCTTTGAAATTTTATGTAAATGTCTGACAAACATTTTCTTAGCCTTATTTTCCTAAGTCTATTTTATTAAAACATTTCATCACGTACCGATCTTTTTATTTTTCTTTTTTTCCTCTCTTTCTATTCTGACATTATATCTCTGCACGGATACACACACTTTCCTTTCAAGATTAGGGTTAACAACATTTGAATACTCGTTTGAAGGATTAGCATAAAATATATCCAAGTGTAAAGATAAATTATTATTTTATACGACGAAATAATAATTTAACTATTTAATTTCTTATATGCATAAAATATTTATATATGAGTTGAGTTTTAGTTACAAAAAAAAAAATTAAATGTTGTAAAAGAATAAATATAAAATGATTTTTTTCTTTTAGTTTTTTTAAACGAAAGAGTAATATTTATTTTATTACATTCTTCCTTCTAGAATAAATTATTAAATAAAACTTAAGAGACGGAATAAGTGTCATCAGGATGGGGAAAATATGATACTGTTGACAACCCTATTCGAAATACGTCATCTTCTGGTAATATTTTTCGATTTGCCTCAGTAACTGTGTCGACAAATTATTCGCACGATTTTCACAAAAGACGAGAATGCACGAGATAGATCGTTGCATAACCACGAGTTGGTGGTTTGGTGTTGGTGGTAATCTTTCCGTCGTGTTGGAGGAAGACAATGAAGAAATAGAAGTTGAAGAAGAAGAAGAAGTAGAAGAAATAGAAGAAAAAGAAGAAACCAAAGAGGAAGAGTAAAATATGTAAATGTACGAGATATATGTATGTATGTGTGTGTGTATATGACGATATATTTAATCTTTTACTTCATATTCTTCATCTTTATCATTGTCATCTTTCTCTCTCTCTCATCTAATAGAATATTTTATTAATACTCGTTCTCCTTGGTTCACCCATACCGATCACTTCGATAATCGATAAATACTACTATTACACACATACACGTATGAGTTTAATACCTACGCGAATAATTTTGCTAATTTCATACAAATCTCTTATCACAAATCGTTTCTCTCTCTCTAACTTACTTTTTCTTATTTTTATTTCTTTTATAATTTTATTTCAAAAAGCGAAAATGGTTCCTTTAAATCACTTGCGGTGTCGAAGAATTTTCCGTCGTGCGTGCCACGCACGTAGTTTTTGTTTCTGTGCCATTGAATTACGACGTGCATAGCACGTTTAAATATAAATATAAAAATATATTTTTTTATTGGTTTTTATTTATCGTAAATATTAGAAATTAAATGACCAAACCTTTTTTTTTATTATCATCAATAAAAAGAACTTTAACGTTTCGTCGTTCTCCTCGATTCGAATATAATCGACTAATCGACTTAATACTTGCAAATAGTGACGGTTGTCTTCCGATCGATTTTCTTTCTTTATATATAGATATATATATTTTTTTTAGGGTATTATTTCTTTCAAATGGGACGCGGGGCACGCGGCTCAATTTTACACACCCGTCTAAAGTTTATATATATATATATATATATATATATATTATTGTCAAGAATTCACGTTCGCGAGCGTATAATTGCAGACTCGTTCAACCGGGAATTTCACCGACAAGGCCACGGATCAATGATGATAAATGATAATATAAAACGACTTTTTATTGACAAGTCGAAATATAAATCGCTGAGAGAGTAAAGATGTTTTTTAATAATAGAAAATATACAATCACGATTACATTTTATTGAAAAATACGAACGAATCGTGAGATAAGATATTTTTTTTAAAAGAATTTTATCGATGAAAAAATCATATAAATAAGCACACATACGTTTATATATATTTATAGTAAGAAAGAAAAGGGATTTTATTTTTGTGAAAAAAAAAATTCTTTTCCGAGATGGTAGAAACGACTCCCTCGACGTTGGCTACAAAAATATTTTCTGCTAAGAAACACCCCATAGAGACGAGTATCTTGTTCGAGAATTCCTTAACCAACAAGAGTCTCTGAATTTACAAATTCCCCTTTCCCCTTTCCCTTTTCTCTTCTTTCTGTCGGCACGTGTTCGCACTATCGTTGTTCGTAAATATATACGTTCGTTAATCTTTTTTAAGAAAGACCCGTCGTCGTGTATCGTTCCTACGAGAAAGGACAGATTTGTTCAAATGTCTTCTAATCTTTCAAGATTATCTTTTTTTTCTCGAATTGTCAAAGAAACCATCAGTCGTGTCGTATGGTACGGTTACAGAGATTATTTTTATTTTATTTTAAGGTGCTATATAATTATTTACAAAAAGAATTAAATTACTACATTTTTAATGTAATGAAAATTGCATTTAATAAAATATCGCTTGTATGATTAAAAAAAGCTTGTATTTTTTAATGCATTTGCAAAAGAGGGTAAGTTTGTTTTGTGTTAAATTTTTTTTGGCAGCAACTAAAGATTAAAAAACAACGAAATTATTTTTAATTACAAAATACAATTGCAACGTGAATTATATTTATTGAATTCAAGGAACATTTAAAAATCCAAATTTAATTTTTTTTAAATAGATGCATAATATTAGAAAAATTATTAAAATAAAAATTAAATATTTATAAGATTATATTAATAATAATTTATAATATTAAAATAAAAATGAAATATTTATAATATTATAATAATACTAATTTATAATATTAAAATAAATTCGTATTAGATTTTAAAAAGTTACATAACAAAAAAGTAGGATACGTCTCGCAATACAATGAAATAATTTCACATAACTCCTATTATATTTTTTTTATCTAGAAATAATGGTCACCGTAAGTATAATATACCAATGTATATACATATATTATACTGTAAAGCAATTTAAAGCTACTCGAATAGAAATTAATTTCCGTGAAAGCTTAATAATAAGAGTGCATTGAGACGTAAAACAAATTCTCATAAGATTCACAATACATATATCTATATATATATATATATAAATGTGTTTATGTGTGGGTGGTTTATATAATCATTAAACGAACAGCCGGTAGTATCATAGAATGCATCGCGCGAACGCATTGACTTTTGGCAAAAGAAGAAGGTGTTTACATAACGACGATCTATGTAGGTCGTTGGTATCGGAGTCCAACATGCGGAACAGGTAGATTGAACGCACACGTTGTTAATTCTCTTAGGAAAGACTTATATTAATTCGATTACTTCGTGCCAAAGAATCTCTCTTTTCTCTTCCTCTATTTTTTTACTTATTTTGTCAATTCTCAACGGCACAACGATTATAATAAAGGACACTGTTGCAAAGGAATTTGAAGTACAACATATACCATCGTAATCATCAAACGCATACTCGCATTCCTTACGGCATTTTGCCAAATGCCAACACCACCACTTCCAACAATTTCACGCGAGTTTTTGTCCTTTCACAATCAGACAAACTTCGCGACTTTTACACTCACAGGAATATCGCGAGATAACGTTTTATTTGCACCAACCGTAAGAAGATTGTCGTCGTTGTTACCTCCTTTACACCGTTATCGTCGTGCCATGTTTATTTTTAACGGAACGCTAAGATAGAGATAAGCTTCGTACGAAACGAGGTGCGCTAAATTTTCTATCCCCTTCTCTTACCAACACCCCTCTCACCCTTTCTCACCTAAAGTCACCACTTTCGAGATATTATACACGAAAAATGTTTATCTTCCTTTTTTTTCTTACAAACTCCCCCCTTTCTCTCTATTTCTCTTTGTTATCATCGCGTTGTACTCTATTTTTTTATTTTACTAGAAATTACTAAGACAATTCCCTTAGCCACACGTTTAATGTAAATATGAACTAAATCATTTATCTTACGAACAAATATATCGATATGATTTTAATGTATAAAATAATATATTTTTTAAAGATAAACTTACCTTGATATCCAAGTGTGCTACGTTGAGAGAATGCAAGAATGCGATACCATCTAAAATCTGTTTCAATAATCTTGCCACTTGTCGTTCTTCTGGTACCTCATCTCTGTCCAATATCATTTGCAATTCACCTCCAGGTGCTCTATAAAAATTCGAACGATACAAAACAAAAGAAATAAAGCTATCAACAATTTAATAATTCTATTTGACAATGGTTACAATAATAATAATAAAACATATCCACAATATAGTATTACGAATTTGAAAAAATATTTGAAGAAAATCGATCAATGAAACGGATAACGATATACGAATACGTACGCGAGAATCGTGCACGTGCTATTTAGAAAGTTAATACTACGAAATATTCATATTACATCATTATATATACAAAGGTATCATAAATTGGTAACGTTCGTTATGTAATACTAAATATATATATATATATATATATATATATATATATGATTGCATTAGAAATTATTGTTGCACAATGTAATAATGTAAGAGACGCGTATACGAGCCAGTTTATAATGTGTATAGAATTATTATCAAAGAAATAAAAACTAGAAAGAAAAAGATAGACAGATAGAATAAGACAAAAAGAAATAACCGCACGACGACGAGGATGCTTTAATAGAGAGAAGAAGGTACAGTTAGAAGTTAAAGTCCAGTATGTGAAAGTACACACTAAGAAGAAACTTACAATTCCAAGACGAGAACCATCTCGGTATTGGTCTCAAAGACCTGGTGGAGGGAAACGAGACGAGAACAGTGAGCAGCGGCATCCAGCACCGCGACCTCGTGAAGTGCCTCCGCCCTCAATTCCTGAGCACGTCGTCTTTTCCTTAGAAACTTTGCGGCCCATTGCCTACCGCTCGATCTTTCTCGGCATCTTCTCACCGTTGCATATTTGCCCCTGCAAATGATAGACAAAGAAAATTGTACGATTAGTATCATAGTATTTATTATTAAATATTTATATATAATTGATAATTACAAATTAGAATTTATTGTTAATGGTTTATATGATGATTAGAGTTAAATAAGTTTCCATTGTTTATTTATTTATTCATTTTTTTTAATATAAATGTGTGTTATTGTGAAAGTACGAGTTAGAGAATGTCAAATGTGTTGTGTGTGAACATGTGTTCGAACATTTAATATGCTAATTATTATTATTTAATATATAAAATATATAATTAATATATAAAAATAATAGTATAATATATAAAAAATTAATATATAAAAATAATAGTATAATGTATAAAAAATTAATATATCATTTAATATATTTAATTTATAAAATATAATAATAAATAATATAAAAATAATATATATATAATAGTATAATATATAAAAATATAGTAATATATAAAATTAAATTCAAATGTTCATACTTTCATTGACATATTTGGTATGTATGACCATTTCACCATATATAAATATAATATATATATATTTAAATTAATTATTAATTATTTAAAAAAAAAAGATATTTTTGTTTATTAGTTACTATTGGATTATGTGGTGAATATAATTTGGAATAAAAAGGAAAAGTAAAAAAGATGATAATTTGTTTCAATTTCATATTGTTCATTTGAAATCTAAATTTAAAAAAAAGAAGAAATATTAATAACGAACATTATTTTTTTTTATTATTATTATTATTTTATTCATGGTATAGAATTATGACAATATCATAGCTTGGCTGACGAGGAAGTTCGTGTAAAACGGTTGGAGGTTTGCTTTCACTTATATTTTAAAAGTTGAATATTTTATTTTGAAAGTTTTCTCAAATGCAACCGATTCTATGCAATAATAATCTTAGCCATCATAGAAAGGTGTCTAAATTGAGTATTTACGTCAACCATTGGTGTTCGTAACTCTTCTCTTTTCTTCGATAGAATTATTACGAGAGATTAAAGAATTATCGCTGTTAGATGTGTTGTCTAGCCACAGAAGTTATGTAAGATACAAACGATGTAATGTAAAAATGATCGATCGTCAAAGTTAATAATACGTGTAAACATCTAAGAAATTCAACTGTTCGTTATTTTAAACCATCTTGCATCTTTGTGTAGACTTAACAACGTTTTATTATCAAACGAGACTAGTCTAACGGAGATGTCAACAAAGAAACTCGATGTTGTATCTAACAAGCATGTATATATATGTATATACATACACATATACATACATATACAGGATGATCCATAATACACTTTACCAAATTTATAAATTAAATATTTTTATTACATATCAGTTTACGTTTCATTTCAACAAAAAAAAAAGTTTTTATGATAAGTTCAAAACTAACACCACGAATGGTTGAGTATTGTTATTTAAAATAAATACTTTTTTATAGGGTTTTTAGAATATTGTGTAATAGTTAAAATTATTGTAGAAAATTTCAATTTAAAATAAAATAAATAAATTTAAAATAATAAATGATAAATAATATATAATATTACAATATTATATATTTATTATAATATATTAATTATAATATTATATTATATTAATTGTAATATTAAATTTATAATTATAATTATTTATAAATTATTATAAAGAAAAATAAATTATTTTGTTATTAAACATGACAGATTCTATAAATATCGTTCATTTATTGCATATTTATTATTACAATAAAAGGAATTTGTATACACCTTACTTTATAAACCCATAAACTAATACGCAATTGTGTAAGTTTACAAATGAGTTCAATTCGATCATTGAGATATCGAATACGACATTCTTGAAGTCGATGAACCATGAATAATATCACGAGCTTGGATTATCCTTTCAACTACTACTACTGATTTCTTCTTTYCCTTTGCAATACGATGATCTAAACACAATCTTCTAGAAAGCGAGAACTCGATTCCCTCTCGGCCAATGCACCGGCCGTTTTCTGTGCTCTCGTTCGATTCGATTCTTTCGTACCTAAATTCGAGCATGGGTGAAAGCAACATCGTCGGAGTAACAAAACCAACAACAACAACAACAACAACGAACGTTCCCTATTACATAAAGTTCTTCTACAACAGTACGAGGAAGTAAGTAAGCCAAGTGTACTAAGTTTGTTTCTATCTGTATATATATATATACATACGTATAT